TATTCTCAAGGGGAAAATGGGGGTATTTTAACTTGGAGAGAGAGAGAGAGAGAGAGAGAGAGAGAGAGAGAGAGAGAGAGAGAGAGGTTTGGGACATTTTAATGTAAATTTATTTTGTTGAGAATTTCACACACAGGTACTGTGTTTACATCATTCCCCCGCCAACCCCTGCCAACTGCTCCCACGTTCTCCCTACTTGTGTGTCTGTGTGCATTTTTGTGTGTATTAGTGCAGGTATATGCGTGCCACTGTACATGTGTGGAAGTCTGAGGACAACCTCGGGACAACCTTCCACCTTGACAGGGTCTCTTGTTCACGACTGCCTATGGTAGGCCAGCTGGCCTGTAAGTTTCTATGGATCCTCATGTGTTCACTTCCACTTGCTGTGGGACTCCAGGGATTCAGATATGCATTTCCATCCCCGGACTAATATGAGTTCTGGAGATCTAAACCCAGATGATTGCACAGTAAGTGCTTTACCTACTAAGCAGCTCTCTAGTCTTCAGAACATAATTTTTTTCAGTACAGTGCTGACTTCATTGTAGAAGCTTCCAGGCCCAAAGTCACATGGCTATTTCTAATTGCAAGGGAGGTCAGGAAATATCGAGTGTTAATGAGCACACAACCACCTCAAACAAAACCAGATTCTGTTAGTAAGGAAGCAGGGGAGAATAAATATGGGATAAGCAGCTAGCAGTGTCTTTAAAAAAATCCTGTGGATTCCCATGCCGTGCAGATTATTATTAGGCACTGCAATATTGAGAGGTGTCCAATTTATTTTATGAAACTAGCCAGCGTCTTGTATCAAAAACTAACAAATACGTCTGAAAGGAAAATTACAAACTAAGTTAACTTATGAATATAATGAAAACTCAAAATGTAAACATGCCAGTTTTTCAGTATCCTAAAAGAGTCATCCATCACGATCATACAGGGTCCATAGCACAAAAGCAAGAATGCTTAGGAAAGATTTAAATATATCACGCATCAAAAGATCCTGTAAGAAAATTATGACAAGCAAAACTGATAAGGAATTGGCAAAAGTCAGCACTTATATCTGGTTAAAAACTAGTCTTAAAATTTTTTTTTAAAAAAATTTTATGTGTGTGTTATGCCTGCATGTAGGTAAGTGCACCCATGTCGTGCAATGCCCATGGAGGACAGGAGAGGTTGTCGGATCCCTTGGAACTGGAGTTACGGACAGTTGTTAGCTGGCATGTATGTGTGTGCTGGGGTTCAAACCCGGGTCTTCTGCAAGAACAGTGTTCTTAACCACTGAGCCATCTCTCTAGCCCCCTTTAAAAAATTTTTAATTATGTGTATATGTGTGTGTCTGTGTGTGTCTGTGTGTTTGTGCATGTGTGAGTGCGGGTTCCCAGAGAGTCCAGAAGAGGGCCTCAGATCCTCTCCGCTGAAGTTATAAGCAGTTGTGGATTGCCTGATGGGTATGCTGGGAACTGAACTTGGGCCCTCTGCAAGAACAGTTTGTACTCTTAACTGCTGAACCACCTCTGCAGTCCCTAAAAACGAGTCTCTCTAGCATTGGCCTGCTTTTCTATATATATATATAAACAGAAGCTACCCCCAACCTTAACCAGAGAAATCTCTGTTTACAGCCCAAGATGCTGAGAATATGTGATAGTCACACATTCCCTTGGAGGCTCTAGGGTCCTGCAGAAGATAGGGTGAAGGAGCTGTGGAATACCATCCTCTAGCCAGCATAGTCATGGCAATCATGCCCTCATAACCACAGTTAACCTTCACAGGGCCTGCACAAGACTGGTCCTCTCAATCAGTCATGGAAGCACAAGGGGCTCACAGGACCTTCCCCTTTACTGCTGAACTATTATTGGTTATTGATAGATTCTGAGAGGGGGAAACCATTGTCTTCAGTTATGTACCCACTGCTGAGCCCACAGGCTCCAGTGGATAGCTCCAAACTCCTGGTCACACAGAAGGTTTGGTTAAATTCAGTGGGTCACAAAACAAAACAATAGACTTGAGCATGAGAAAGAGATTTTTAGGGGAGGGGTGGTGGTGGACAGGGCAGGAATAACATGGGAGAGTGGGGGTGAAAGTGGTCAGTATGCATTTTGTATATGTGTGAAATTGTCAAAGAACAAACTTAACTAATGAAAATAAATGACCAGTCTTAGCTATCTAAGGACCAGAAATATATTTCTTTAGGAAATAAGACTATTTAATTTCTTATGCTAGTGAGTTTATTATAGTTCAAAGGACAAAGGTATATTCTGTATCTCTCAAACCCAATGAACCCGTGTCTATAAATATACATTTGAAGAGAATCTGAACTAGTATGACACACACTAGTTACTTCTGAGAGTTTCCCAAAGCATCCTCTAACATGTGTTACACAGCACATTCCTCCTCCTTCAGCCCAGATCTTGCCAGCTTGCTACCATACAACAGCCAGTGAATCCAGTTTGGTAGAATTCTGCATGTACTAATTCTAAACCTAAGAAAAAATAGCACCCACTCATTCTGATATATAAGTGAGGCTATTTTTAATATTGCCTTTGAACTTGGAGAATTAGATAGCTTTATAAAATCAAATTATCTCTTCCTTTGTGAAGTGTATAAGAGAAATTTGCTCTGAGGCTATTAGCTAATAGACTAAGGCTTTAAATCTTGAAGCCACAGTAATATGTGTTCTACATCAATATTTTTAGATTATTTTTAAAGCCATAGTCCACATTAAAAAATACACTTTAAGCCAGGCTTATTTTTGCATGCTTGTAATCCCAGCACTAGGAGACTAGGCAAAGGTATCCTGAGTTTGAGGTTAGTCTGAACTACATATAGCGAATCCCAGGCCAGCCTGAGATGCATAGTGAGAGTTGCCTCAAGAACCTTCCCCCAATTTTTAAAAGAAATTGACTAAACTCATATGCACTCACACCTTCTATAATATATACACACATATTTCCATGATTAAAAGTTTCACAGAAATTACTAAGAATCATTGTAAAATTATTTACTATCATCTATTCTGTTCTACTTCATTTTAAAAACATGTTCATCCATCATGCCAACTTCATAATTTCATAAGATGCTATTTTAGATAATGTTCTTCACCCTTTTCCTGGTCCAGTTTTGTTGTAAGCAAACTTTTCATATCTATGGGGGATATTTTGGTGCTGGTTGTGAGGTTTCCTGTGATTTTTAGAAAAGTGATAGGAATTTGCTAAAGGGTGACTGTTTTCTGTCCACAGCTCTTGCGTGAAGCCCAGTGCCTCATTAACCCAAGGACCTCACCAACTGGAAGCTGCAGTTTTCACTATCAACCTACCACATCCCTCTTGATCTGGTTTTCTTCCTCAGAAAGTGGAAGCACCTCTTTCAAGTTATTTTTGTTGCAAACTTAAGCAAATGGCTGACAATGACATGGATAAAAAGTCTGCAACTTGCCCTGACTGTTCATCCTCTCAGAGTGATCTTTGTGTGTGTGAAGGAGGCAATCCTCCAGTTTTGGTGGTGGAAATGTCAGAGACATCAAGTATTGGTAGTGTAGAAATTTTAGCTTTACCAGAGAGAAAAAAAGAAAGGAATGGCAGCAAAGAAGTTCCTACGAAAGAGTTGGTAAATATTGAAGATTCTGCATCTCAACACAACTTGATGTGTCCCCCTCCATTCTCATCCCTAGAATCCCCACCTCCATCCCATGAACCCTCATCAGCTAATTCATCATCACCTTCTTAATGTTCTTAAGGAAACATTTCTCTTTCACAGTAGAGGTGAGCAAAGTTGGTAGGCTTTGCATTTTATGATGTTTTTAACAACTGCCCAGAATATTTCTCAGGATCCTGAACAATTAACACTATTATTCCAGCTCTTAAAATAGTTATGTGTTATGATTTTATCCCAGTACTTGGGAAGCAGAGGCAGGAAGATCTCTTGTGAGATCCAGGACGATCTGGTCCACAGAGTGATTTCCAGGCCAGCTGGGGCTACATAGTGAGATTCTGTCTTAAATAAAAATAGGTTATGAACAAAAAGATTGGTTTTCCAAATTTAATTAAATAGGAATTTTTGAGCATTTTCTTGAACTGATATAGAATGGGATTTATGGTAATAGTTAAAGTGTGCCTATGGTTTCATTATTTAAGACAAAGTTCTAGTTATCTATCTAGAATTCCAATTTTGCTTTATAAAGGTAGTTTGCATGATTTTCAAACAATATGTGGATACCCAGTTGAACTAATTTGGCTTATTCAACAGTGTGAAGAGGTACCGTGGAAGGCTGTAGTTAATTTAGTGCAGGTTTGGAGACAGAGAGCAAGAACTTTAGGAAATGTCAGGCTCTCACTCTTCAAACTTGAACCTTTTTCATAGTTTTACTCTCACCTTAAGGCTCTTAGCATAATGTGCCAATGCATTGTAGCACTTGGGATTCAGAAAAGACAGTAAACTATTGTGTACACAGAAAACACTGTGTAATCCATTAAGGGTTTATCATACTATCTAAATTAGAGTTCGTCATTACCAAGAATATTACATCTTGAGTTGTTTTTCAAAATTCCTTTTTGGTTCTAGCCCACAAAAGTCCTAAATGTAGACAGAAAAGCCTCTCAACAACAATGGAATCGGGGCAGTGTCACAGAAGGAAAAGTTCCTCACACAAGGATGGAGAATGGAATGGATATTGAGGTACATAGGAGACTAGAGCGAACTAGAAACTTTCAGGTCTCTCCAAAGCCAATGGTCAATGACAAAAATAGCTTAAAAATCAGTCTCCAGGAAAGGTAGTAAAGTCAGGAAGAAATTCAAGTACATCAAAGTTTTTAACTAAAGGAAATGCAGACTATTTTCTGTTCTTAGAGGTCCAAATGGACTTTAATTAAGGGGGCAGGGGGTGGTCTAAGAAGCTTAGCTTTAAAGGCAATAGTGTAGTCTTTGTGCAGACTTCTTGAAGATACAGAGGTCAAATGATTTTCGATAGCTCACATGTTCGCTGCTTCGCTGATCTCTCCATTTTTCCTGATTGGTGAAATATCCACATTAGTCTTCCTAAGAGTCCAATTATAATATACAGTGAGTTAGAAGCTGTGGCTCATTCAGTAAAGTACTTGCTGTACAACATGAAGAATGGAATTCACATAGTCAAAGCTCATGTAAAGAGTTGGGTGCATGATGTCTATTGTTCCAGTGCTAGGAACAGGGAGCCAGGAGGGTCCCTGGGGCTTGCAGGCCAGCCAGCACAGCCAAATCAGCAGACTCCTTTCACCAACCCACAAGAAACAAAAACACAGCGGGTTGTGTGGTTTTGCTTTTCTGCTATGAACTGTGATGCCACTGTTGGCAAAACCAGTTCATTCTCTCTTTGTAAAAAAGTTAAATGATAAATTAGAAAGATTCTTGGTCTAGATGGTTGCATTGTAGGTAGTGTATATTTTTTCTGCTTCGACTTATATTAATTTTCTGTTATATAATTATTGTCTTTTCTTAAACCAGATGAGTAAGAAAACTTGTATATAGATAAGAAGGTTAAAAAACAAACAAACAAAAAAACAAGCTTTACTAGGTAAAGAAGGAATCACTTCATTGCTTTTTGTGTTTTTGTTTTGTTTGAAGATCAAACTCGGGGCCTTGTGTATGATAGACACATGCTCTGCCACTGTGCTATGCCTGTTGAGTGGTTACAATAATGCTGATTTAATAGTACACCACCTCTCAGAGTTTGGGGATTTTTTTTTTTTGTCAATGTGCTGGATCATTTTAGTTGTTAACTTGACACACCTGGAGAGAGGGAATCTTGGTGGGGGAATTTTCCCTATCGGATTGGCCTGTGGGCATGTCTGTGAGCCATTTTCCTGATTGCTGAGAGATGTGGGAGAGCCCAGTCCACTGTGGGCATTGCCACCCCTGAGCAGGTGGTCCTGGGTTGTATAAGAAAGCAGGCTGAGCACAGGCCAGGGGAGCAAACCATAAGTAGAGTTGCACCTTAGTCTGTGCTTCAGCTCCTGTCTCCGAGTTCCTGCCCTGAGTTCCTGCCCTGAGTTCCTGCCCTGAGTTCCTGCCCTGAGTTCCTGCCCTGAGGACTTCCCTCAAGGATGAACTGTGATTGTGATGTATAAGCCAAATACACCCTTTCTTCCCCAAGTCAGTTTGGTCAAAATGTTTTATCACAGCAGTAAAACTAGCTAGAACTAGTATTGTTTATACATATATATGCAAACTCATATGAAGATATATTAATATTCCCTTCCTTTTTCTTAATTATCTGTATTATATTTCATATTAATATTATTTTATGTGTTTACTGAAAAAGATTAATTTCTATAATTTTGAACTTTTCCACTTTTTATCATTAGAACAAAAGATTTTCCTCCAAAAAGCAGACATTTAACAAAATTCATCAAAACTTAACTTTGTCTAGTTAAGGCGTGTTTGTTAATTCGGAAGCAAATCTGTAGTGTCTTGTATTTGATCTTACCCTTGGCTGGGCATCTGCCAGCATTGTGTTCATTCTCTATGCCTGCTGAATGTCACAGAGGCGCAGCAACTCTTGTTTTGTCTCCAGGAATTCTATATCTTTGGAAAAGTATTGGGACAAGGGAGCTTTGGAATGGTCATTGAAGCTACAGACAAGGAAACGGGCATGAAACGGGCAATTAAAAAAGTGAATAAAGAAAAGGTAAGCTTCCTAGTGCAGCACCCCAGGCTGCAGTGCCAAGTGGGATGGGGTGGCCAGTATAGCTTTCCACACTCACCCAGGCTGTGTCCAGCCTTGAGGACCAGGACCGAGCTGATTGCTGTAGGAGTGTGGGCATTTCTCGAGACTCCTTGAAGGGACTAGTCCCTGAACTCAAGTAGACAAGTGCTGTTTGGAAAAAGCTAAAGGGAGCATTGGCATCACCAGTGTAACTACAAAGGTAAGCTTCATTGGAGTGAGTTCAAATTAGGGCTGGTGCTCACTGTGTGTAGGTGTAGCACTGTGGCTGGGGATGTCTTCACTGGAAGTGAGGCCTGATAAACCCTCCTGAGGTGGTCCATGCACTTTTCTTCTGTTTCCTCACTGCTAGCGAACCTTCTCCCCATCTAGTCGCTGTTGCTTTGTATCCACTGTTCTCCCTGCTGCATTTCCTCTTGATATGGAGGCCTGGGCTTCTTCAGTACAGTCCAAGACCTCAAACTTCATTATCAACTCCGAAAAAGTTGTATGCCTGGGGAAAAAAACAATTATAGCATTTTCTCCTTGGATTTGTGATATTAAATTTATAAATTTAAGCAGTAGGGTATATGTATTCTTTTTACAAAAAAACCCACAGTAGATTTCTCCTTTAAGTTTAATATGACATGTCAATTTTAATAAAGCAATTAAGAGCCTTTTGAGAAAATTTTGTAATTCTTTAGAATGCTAGGTGGCATACCACAGCACTGCCTAAGGTGATGTTTCTTGGATTTTTTGTTGCTGTTGTCAAGTGGGATTAAGAGTTCTGTTTTTGGATTATATAGACAGGAAGCCTATGACTCTCTCATTCACATGTGTTAAAGTAGTAAAATAAAATGATGCTGTCAGTATATGAATTGGACAATGTCTTACTACATTACATATAGGTCAGGCCATTTGGGGAAGGAGACAGGAACAGAGCTGAGATGAACACCAGGAGAAATCTTGTTGACTTTCCAGGTCCACTCTAGAGGAGCATTCATTCCTCAGTTGCTATTTCTGTTGGGCCTCTCAGCCTTACAATGTGCTTTCGTCCTCCATGGGTAGGGTAACAGAGTGGTCAGTATGCTGCTCACTCAAGGATGCTGAGGCTGAACAACAAAGGGGATTGGAAGCAGGAACAGCCCTAAGATTTTTAACTAGAAATGTTGGCTTTGTGATCAGTTGCTTTTCTCTAAGAACTATTATGACTTTCCCAAACTGGAGATGGCTTGAGGAATAGGTCTTTTGTTTCCTCTTTCAAGAATATTTTTACATAGAACTATGACCCTTCAGGGAAGAGAATATATATTTTCAAATAATGGCAATTTCAGTCAGTGGAGCTGATGATCTGGGGGGAGGTTAAGGTGGAGAAAGCTCCTGGGATGTCTTAGATGATGTAGGCAATCACTTACCTGCACTGGAATGAAGTCCTTGTGCTCCCTGGAGAACTCTTGACTTCTTGCACCAGGCATGGTAAGGGTTAGATGTTAGGAGATAAAATTGGAGTTGGGTTGGTTTGAAAGCAGGTCTCTGTCTCCCTTTGTCTCTGTAGTTAATCAGGAGGACCAGGAAGTAACAAATACAGGGTCAAATGTAGGATCACATTGCCTCATATATAATATATGTATATATAATGTATAAGCTAAATCAAAACATGAAAACAAACCAAAATGTTTTATTATAAAGCCAGCTATGATTGATGCCCTGGAATATTTTGTCTCTATTATACTAATATCAAAGGAGCAGTGTGATTTTTGAAGGAAATATAAAGATATAAAATCGGAATGGCTTTGTGAGGGGTCAGAGGCCATGTTTCAGTTAATTTATGGAAACAGTCCAAGAGATCAATGTGCTTTGAGGCCAAATTAAATACAACCTGAAATTTGACAAAGGAAAGAATGAGAAAATACACACGTAGAAAGGTATCACACAGCTAACTTTTGTGTCGAGGGATTAAGAGTGGCGTTCCCACTGCAGCCTGTGCTTCTTCCTTGACTTAGGCTGGAAGCTCTGCTGTGAAGTTGCTTGAACGGGAGGTGAACATCCTAAAAAGCGTCAAACATGAACACATCATACATCTGGAGCAAGTGTTTGAGACGCCTAAGGTAAAGCTCCATCAGGTGCTTCGTTTTGAAGGTTGTTATTATTGTGAAATGAATATCATTCCATTCCAAAGTGTCCCTTTGGGGCACAGCTGCTCGAGTTCTTGGCATGAGTCTGTCACCAGAGATTGATGAGAGCATTCTGGAGGACATTTATTATTGATTGTATAATTAGGTGTGTGATGATTAGATTGATGCCTTTGGTGATATGTTCTGGGTGGTGTGTGGAAAACAAATGTTTAAAATTGGAATGGCTTTATACACAGTGAGTTAGAGCTTCCTGAGAGATAGCATTCTTTTTGCATTTGTTTTCAGTCTCTCACTAGAGACCCTTTGGTTAGAGTCATATGATGTTGCAAGGTTAGCTTTGTGAGCAAATTGGCCCAGTGTAGAAGATGCTTCGTTATCTTTTTCTTTCCAGTGTGTTTTAACTTTGGTTCCTAGGTGTCATCCTCCTCTAATTTAACCACCTGTAATTTTTGCTTAGCATATGAACGTGGGCATTCCTTCCTCTACTTGGGATCAGTATACTGTAGTGGTTAGGTATGTGGACTCTGGGGTCAGATGGTTTGAATCCTGATTCCACTGCTTATTAGCCACGAGAACACAGGCAAGTTATTCAACTTCTCTATATGTAATTTGCTCATCTGTAAAATGGGCTCAGTACCAGTGTTGACTCATCTGGTAGTTGAAGGGTTAAGGATTAAGTAGATGATGGCTATATCTCATGATGGCATCTCTTTTGTGAAATGTGAAATGTTAGCCATTGTTCTTCATTCTCTTTGCCAGTCTCTAAAGTAGCCAGGAATAGTCAATTTGCATTGCGCATTACACTTCATTCACTAGAAGTTTGATAACATGATGACAGTTATTCTTTTGTATGTGTGATTCTGGAGATTGAACCTAGGACCTGTGCATGCTAAGCAGTGCCTTACCACTGAGCTATACTTCCACCCCCAAGTTGTGATTTCTTTTATCCCCAAATATTCTTTGAATAACTTTGTTCTTTATCATCAGTTTTAAACAGTTTAATTATGATGTTTCTTGGTAAATAAAAGTCTCTTCATGTTTCTTGTGGTTGGGGTTCGTGGAGCTTCTGCCTGTAATTTTGATTTTCATCAAATTTAAGAAAATTTTGGTCACTAGTCCCTCAAATATTTTTTTCTGTCCCCTATTGCCCCACTTTTGAGGAGTTTTAGCATATATGTTAGATTGCTTGACACTGGGCACAGTAGTATACTGATTTTTTTTCAGTACTTTTCTATCCTTATTTTGTATAATTTCTCTTTGCTGTGTCTTGAGATTCACTAATGTTTTCTGTAGCATTGTGTCAGCAATCTCTTCCAATGGAAATTCAATTTCCTTATATGTGTATATTCAAAATGTGACCTTAACATGCTCAGTGTTTCCTCTTTCTCCAATATACTGATAGTAACTATTTTAATGACCTTTTCCTAGTAACTTTATCAGGTATGTTAGGGCAGTTTTGATGGCCTCCCTCCTCTTTGTTATGGGCTATATTTTCCTTCTTTGTATATCTGTTATTTATTTAATTTACTTAGTTTTGTCTTTTACTACAGGGTCTTACAAGTGTATGCTAGGATGGTCTGGTAGTTCCTGTGTAGCCCATACTAGACTCTGGAACTTGTAAACCTCCTGCCCCAATTCCTGAGTGCTGGAATTCCAGGTGTACACTGTTAGGCCTGGCCAGTAGCTAATTTTTAATTGGATGCCAGATATTATAAATTTAACCTTTTAAAATGGAATTTTTGTGAATTTCATACAGTACATTTTGATCATATGTAGACCCCCTCCATTATCTTCATCATTCTTAATAGCTCCCTCCACCAGACTTCATGTACTCTGCCATACATGTTAAGGCCTGTTGAACCAAGTTCATGTCCCCACATGTCCTTCAGTGTGCATCCATCCACTGGAGCCTGGCTAACCTATCAATCATCACACCCTTAAAGAAAACCAGTTTTCCCTCTCCAAGTAGTTAGTTATTTGTTGTCAATAGTTCCTCAGCTAAGGTTGGAGCTTCTTACCCACTTCCTCACTTCTGTGCTGGGTTTTTGTCTGCTTTGAGCTTGCATGGGTCTTGTGCATGCTGTTAACCATTGCTGTAGGTTCATGAGTAACAGGTTATTATGCAAACTGCCAAGGGAGAAAACCAATCAATGACTCCATCCAACTATAAAGTCTATGAAGTACAACAATGACCAGCCCAGCTAATAATCTCTACTGGTGCAGTAGTGGCACTTTATCTTGGTGGTGATCAACAGCTGTATAATTGGGATGTAAGTCCTGCTCAATGAGAGGGAACTCATGTGTGGTACTGTAAACATAGCCAAATACACATGGTTGGAGATGTCATAGATACAGGAGAAAAATCTGCTTTTGTCACATCCCCAGACCAATGTAAATTCTCCCTATATTCTAAGTATGAATCCTTATACTTACAGACAAGTGTACCTCTCACCACTCATCAAAGAAGCTTCTTTGTGAAACAGATAGAGACTGTTACAATGTTTTACAACTGGTCAAACACAGAGAATAAGTGTCTGTGAGGTGTCCAGCCCTAAGTGGCACATCTATAATGCAACCTCTACATCCAAGGCTCTGGGAACAGGGGTCAGAAAGAATATGAATGCATCTCTCAACTCTCACCAGTGAAGCTTCCTCATGCAACAGATGGTGATTAACCCAGAAAGCCACAACTGGCCAAAGTGCAGAGAATAAGAGACTGCAGAGTGCTTAGCCCTGATTAGGACACCTATGTCAAATTTTACCTTTTTTGGTTGTTAGATTTTTATATTCTTATAACTAATTTTTGGGATGGAGGGTAGGGTCTCACTAGGTAAGTCAGACTGCTTAATTAGCAAACCTCTACCTCAGCTTCCATAAACTGGAACTACAAGCATGTGCCACCACTCTCGGCTCTTGGAATAATTCTTGAGCTTTCCTTTAAGGTGTAGTCAAGTCACTTGGAAACAGTTTGATGCCTTTGAAGCTTGCTTTAGCTTTTGTTGGTGGCAGTAGAGCAACCTTTCTGGGACTAGCTTTTCCCTTTCCTGAGGTATGACCCTTCTGAATACACATTCTCTCTCTCTCTCCCCAGTGCCTCACAGGGGAGATTACAGGATTTCCCCACAAACACACAAATGTCTGACTTTTCATTGAAGCTGTATCAAGGAAATGGCTATCTGATTGGTTGTATACTGCTGATCCACCACTTTGATTGGGCAGTGGTTTCTTATTAGTTTAAATGTGCTTCAGATTTGCATAATTATTTCTAATAATTATAAAAGACTTAGGGCATAAGATTTATCACCATCATTGATCAATGTACATATTTAGAGTACCAATTCATACTATACCGCTAGTACAACTTTCCCTTTTAAATAGTTCACTTACCATTTCATGTTCTCAGAGATCCCATAGCACTGTCACTGAAAACAGTATGTCCCAGTTCAAAAGCTTATTAATGTATCAGATGTTGCAGATACTTTTGAAATCCTAAAGAGCAGCTGGAAATTCAGAGAATCAGAATTGTGGCTGTAGGAACAAAGGGTATTCACCCACTCTTCCTGTTTAATGCTTACTGATCGAACACAGAAGTCGGATTAGCAGCTGTTACAAGAACAGAATCAGGCCCCAAATCTTCAGAACAAAAGCCTAGAAGTATAGGGTTGAATGGAGACATGGAGGGTAGGCTGTGTCTGATAGCAGTATCTATGAAAAAGGCTTGCTTTTAGTTGACTAGGAATCTTTTTGACACAGTAGATGACTTCACTGTTGGATTATCTGAAGACATCTTAATATGCCTCAAAAGAAATGACAAATACAAAAGGGGCATTTCATCTCATCGCCTTGCCTCACACACGCAGGTAGTCTCCAAGTCCCACTGTCTCTTCCTCTTTGGTATTTTCCACATCTTTGCTCTGTAATGGTTGATATTATCAACTTGATAGACTCTAGAGTCCCTGGCAGACAAACCTCTAGGCATACTTGTGAGGGATTTTCTAGCTTAGGTTAATTGTACTGGGAAGACCCACTGTCTGTGTGTGGCACCATTCCATGGGGTGGGGTCCTAGAGTGAATAAAAAGGAGACAGTGAGGGCTGATGCGATGGCTCAGTGCATAAAGGAACTTGCTGCTAACAACCTGAGTTGGATCCCTGGGACCCAGGTGGTAGAAGAAAGGAACCAACTCCCAAAAGCTGTTCCCTTACCTGCACATGCACACCAGGGCACACACAAATGTACACACATGTTCATGCACAAACAAACAATAAGCAAATACAGTTGTTTTTTAATCTTAATGAAAGAGAAAGCAGGCTGAGCACAGGCATTCATTGCTGTGCTTCCTAAGGTCAGTGTGCCATGAGCAGCCACCTCAAGCTCCTGCTGCTGTGGCCTCCCTGACTTGATGGATTATAACCTGGAGTAGTTAGCCAGAATGAACCCGTTCTCCTGTAAGTTGCTTTGTCAGGATATTTTATCACAGAAACAGAAAAAATGGCTTGTTTCTAGTCTGTGTCTCAGAAGTGCCCCCTGTTAATACGAACAGCCTGTGAGCTCAGTGGTCTGCTGGCTGTTTTCATAGGACCAATAATCTAAGTTTTCTACATGCCCAAATCGTTGACAGAATGTAAGTGAGTAATATTTTGTGATATTAAAATGATACCAAACTCAAATTTCTGGGTCTTTAAATACAGCATTGCATTGTTCTGGTTGCTGTCACAGGCAGCTGCTGAACTGCCTGCAGTGACCATATTTACTCCTGGGTTTGGTCTTTGTAGAAAAATGTTGCTGAGCCCTGCCGTATGTCACTGTTGGAATGCTCACCTAGAAATGCAAAACTGATGTATGACTTCCACCTCAAGACACCGGCTTAAAAACCTCAAGTGACTGGTTGCATGTGGGGCTTGCGATGATTCCACACTTGTTAGCATGATGTCCAAGACTCCTTACAAACTGGCGCCAGCCTCTTCACTCCCTCCCCCTTCTCCACCCTCTGGCTTTGAACGGTTAACACAGAGCTACTTGTTCTTCTTTTAATAGCCAGTGTTGTTTCAAGCCTTAGGGTCTCTTACTCGCTCTGCCTGTTCTTGCTCACATTCTCTACCCAGAAATCACTCGTCAGACATTCAGACTGAACTCTCCTTGGTGAACGTTCTTCAGGCAGAGGCTACCTCTCCTCCACAACCCATGGCATGCTGGATATTACTACATATTACATGATACTGTAAATCCACCGTGAGGATCTGTACTGAGGGTCTGTACTGTCTCATGCTTCTTTGTTCATTTAATACCCAGCATAGAACTGCATATAATAGATAAGACATGTTTTTCAATGAATAGATTCATTAGGATTGTGATTATTCATGTATAACATTTCAAAGACACTCAGCTTTATCATTTATTTTCTCTTGTTCTATCTTTTAAATATATAATGTCAGAAAATGTACCTTGTGATGGAGTTGTGTGAGGATGGAGAACTCAAAGCAGTTCTGGATAAGAAAGGACACTTCTCAGAGAATGAGACAAGGCTCATCATTCAGAGTCTCGCATCAGCTATAGCATACCTTCACAACAAGGGTAAGAAGAGGACCGTCCAGCTCCCTGGATCCATAAATGCAGATATCACTTTTGTTTAAGGGTGATTGTATTTAGGATTTGTAATCACACCAGTAGAACTTGGTAATGTAAAGTGGATAACAAGTAAACCTTCCGTTTTTTTCTTTAAATTTTATTTATACATATATTTTAATTAGCAACAATCCAAGTATACAGTTACAGTATACATGGAAAAGCAAGCAATTCCCATCATTCTTTTTCTAGACACTAAAGATCAGCTAATATGCCAAAACCAATGCAGACAGATCAATGATCAAGGTGAAATTTCCTAAAATACTTGTGTACTGATAACATTAAAATTTTATGTGGTTGGGGTGGAGAGATAGCTTAGCGGTTAAGAGCACTGACTACTCTTTCAGAGGACCCAGGTTCAATACCCAGCACCCACATAGAAGCTAACAACTGTCCATAACTCCTGTTCCAGAGAAATCCAATGCCTTCTTCTTACCTCTGTGGGCATTGCACAGCACGGGTGCACTTACACACATGCAGGCAATTCACTCATATACATAAAATAAAAATAATAAATAAAAAATGTTTACATGGGGGCTGGAGAGATGGCTCAGCAGTTAAGAGCACTGACTGCTCTTACAGAGGACCAGGGTTCGATTCCCAGCACCCACATGGCAGCCACGAACCATCCTTAACTCCAGTTCCAGGGGGATCCGAAGCTCTCTTCTGACCTCTGCAACACTGCATGACACAGGTGCACTCACATACATGCAGGCAATACACTCATACACATAAAATAAAAATAGTAAATAAAATGTTTATATGGTCTATCCTTGTTAAAAAATCAGCTGTAGTTTTTAGAGTAGCCTTAGGTTCGCAACAGAAGGCGCAGAGGTCTCCCCTGTGCCCTCTGGTGCCACATGTGTAGCATGGCTCACATTATGGTCACCCCAAACCCATAGTCTACATTAGAATTCACTGGTGGTGGTATATGTTCTATGAGTTTTCACAAATGTATAGTGACATTCTTCATCAAGTTTGCCAAGTGGCATGGGGGTACACACCTTTAATCCCAGCACTCAGAAAGCAGAGGCAGGCAGATCTCCATGAGTTGGAGGCTAACCTGGGCTACTTAATGAGACCCTGTCTCAAAACAAAGCAAAAACAAGAAAGTTATCTTAGTAGCTTTACTGTTCTCCAGTGTTACTGTTGCTACGTTGCCCCATGTTCCTCTTTTCCTCAAAGTTTTTGGCTTGCATGTGATTCTAGAACTTTCTCATTTTACAGATGATAGGTCAGTGACACAAAGGTCAGTGACAGGCTTCAGGTGGCTGGTTTTCTTCTGTTGATATTTCTTTATCACCTACTGGTTTTTGATTGGCCCTAGAGTTACAAAGAGGAAAGAATAAGGCCCCTGCCCCTCAGTCAGCTCAGGCTACTGGGAGATTGAATGTGATAACAACTTGTAATGCAGTGTGGTGATGTCGTAAAGAAGAGCTATGGAAAGAGCAAGGGGTACAGGAAAGCAAGTGGCTCTTTTGAAAGGTCAGGAAATAATTTGACCTGAGGAACACAAACACAGGACAAAAAAGGGGAGTGCTTTTCAGACAGGAAGACAGTTTTTGCAAAAGCTTAATGTTTACACTAATGTCATTTTTCCCATGTTAAGCTATAAATTGAATATATTTCTATAAAATCTTAACTGCATTTTTTGGTGAGACTTTTAAGATTATTCTAAAAAGTGTGAGAATACCCAGGATAACAGTTGGAGGTGGGCAGGGCAATTTGCCTCCCCAAGAATCAAAACATGTAATAAAGATGTATTGATTAAAATGACTTGGTATTTATAAGAATAGAGACAAGCAGAGTTATAGAAATAACAAAAATTCCAAAAATAAAGCCTGGAGATTGTGTAGGAGAACTGTAAATGATTCAGTGCAATCGCCTGGCCAGGGCTCATTCAACTATATTTTTCTAGCAATTATACACTTAACTTTCTAAAGCTTGAGAAATGTTTGCTATGGATATGAACTGAATCGGTTATCTGCAAAGGAATGTTTGATACATTATTATTTGAATGCAGGTAAAAATTCCACCTGAACTCTGATCTCTTCAACTGTGTCCCAAGATTTATGTTTTTTAACTTATAAACAGAAGGAAAATGTATGTTGATATTATAGAAAATACACTGAAACACAGTTTACACACATGTAGCCAGGTTACAGTGTGTTAAAATGTTTATGTTGACTTAACATAAGCATAGGCACAATCCCCTATTTAGAGACCTAAGGATATAGGATGCCTTACTGGGCCTGTGTTGGGACTCTGTCTGCCTCTCTTTCCCTCTTCCTGAGAATCCTCCTCCATACTCACTAGACTGGGGCACCAGGCTTGGGGTACCACAGGGACAGGCAAAGAAAAGAAAAGAAAAGAAAATGTTTTCTGATGCTGATGTGGACAAGACGGTCTGTAAGTCAGAGTGGACTAGGAAGGAATTACAGTGACCTTCTTTCATATTTAGTGGTGGGTGTTGATCTGTTAAATACACTGATTGTCCCATTTGTGTTCTCTAATTATTTTTCCACTGTTCATGTCATTTGTCTATTTCCTTGGTAGATATAGTGCATAGAGATCTAAAACTGGAAAACATAATGGTTAAAAGCAGCTTTATTGATGATAATGGTGAAATGAACTTAAACATAAAGGTAAGATCTTAGAACTGTGACTGAATAATCATCTGAAAATAACCAGCAGCAAAGTATCAAAGTACATCTTAGATGCATTTTAGTGGCTATTGAATATAAGTGTGCTAAGAAATACAGATTGCACGGAAGAGGCTGTACCTGCCAAGGATGGGTCACATGTTGAGTGGTGCTATTGAGTTTTTAAAGCACATATTTCTTTGTATAGTTCTAAATCATTAGTTAATAGCAAGCAAACAGATGCTCTGAATTCTAATTAATTTCAAAATTATGCCTGGCAATTTGATGTAAATGTGTTACAGATTTGGAGAAAAACACACCTTGGCTGAGCTTTCGATAGTAAATTAATGTTACAGTCTGTACTTCTCATTGAGAATTTTCCTGGGTATTAATATTTATGTCTTAACCACAACTAATGTGCAAAGTATTTATTCTTGAAGATTTTATTTAAATTAACTATTCCTTAATGTCAAATAAATGATAGAGTACATTATTTATTACTTAGCACTTTAACAGTGGCTGTGTTCAAAATGTGTGCATGTGTTAATTGTGGAATAAAATGTGTGTGTAAGTTGCTGCTGCAGAAGCTAAGTCCCTACACGATCTAAACAGGCTCAGTAACATTACTCTTTTACTCACGTGAATGTTTTCCTGTAGCTTCACAGTAAATGCTATGCAGGCAGGAGCCATGACCATCTTATTCATTGTTGGACTGTGGAGACCCAAGAGCCTGAGACAGAATGCATTCAGTTGGCATTTGGTGAATGAGACTTGGTGCTCTCCCTATAACTGAATTGGATCATGAAGGCTTTATGTATTTTATATGTGTAGAAATTTTATGTGGGGCAAGATAGATATCATGTCCCCAAGTGGGATATTTATGAAAACTCCTGGAGAAATTGATTTACCCAGGTGTGGTGATGCATGCCTGTATTCCCAGCACTTGGGAAGCAGAAACAGGAGAATTTCCATGAGTTTAAGGCCAACATGTGCTGCATAGTGAATTTTAAGCCTCAGCTACAGAGTGAGACCCTGTCTCAAGGAAAACGAGAGAGAGAGAGAGAGAGAGAGAGAGAGAGAGAGAGAGAGAGAGAGGGGAGGGGAGAGAGAGAGAGAGAGAGAGAGAGAGAGAGAGAGACAGAGAG